AGAAGATGAAGGGTAGATGACTCAATCAAGTACATTACCGTTCATAAATATAGGAAGGTCTAAAATGTTGCGATAACGATTGGCTGAAAAAAATTAAGTTTTATCTGAATTAAAGTTCACCAGCCACTGTGACCCCCATGCTGTAGAAGAAGTGAGATCCTTTTCAAGCTCAAATGCATTCTCCAAGCAATCAGAGGTAGTTAGCATCTTATCATGACAAGAATAAATGGTAGTATCATCAGCAAACAATGCCACCTTAGATGTGAGAACATCTGGAAGATTGTTAATCTAAATTATAAAGAGTATAGAGCCAAGGACTGAACCTTGAGGAACCCCTGAGGTTACAGAATAAGAAGAAGAGTGTTGTCCGTCAACAACAACTTTTATACTACAATTGGAATGGAAGGATTCAATGATCTTAAAGATGTTTCCAGATAAACCTAAGAAGAAAGGTTATGGAGAAGACCAGCATGTCAAACTTCATCAAACGCTTTAGAAATGTCAAGAGCGATGGCCTAAACCTTTCCAATTTTATCTAAAGCACAATAAAATCTATTGGTTATTACTGTTAGCAAATCAGCCGTAGAATGAGAAGATCAAAATCCATATTGATGATTAGAAAGTAAGTTATAAGATTCAAGATGAGAGATTAAGTGTTTGTTAATTAAATATTCAAAAACTTTGCTTATAATAGAAAGAAGACTAATGGGACGATAGTTAGACGAATAAGATTGCCCTCCAGAAATTTTAAAAACAGGGAGCACTTTTTGAATAGTTTTGAAAGAATAGACGGCAGCTTCAGAAAACACTTCTGCAAAATTATAACAGGTATGTTGTCCGGGCCACAAGCTGTAGAAGAGTTTTAACAGGAAATCACTTTAGATACAGAAGCTGGAGCGATACGAATGTCAAGCAATGGATCAACCTGTTTGACGGCTATATCAGGTAGAACGCAACTAGTGGAATCAAGAGATGTTATTGATGGAAAGTTCTAAGCAAACAATTCAGTTTTGTCTTTAGGTGAGATGACAAAGTCTGAACCATACAAAAGAGGTGGAATTACAGAGTTGACCTTATTATTGATACTATTAAAGACTCTCCAGAAGTCACGAGATCCTAATTTTTGAGATGAAATACGAGATTTCATAACCTGAAAATAGCGGGCTTTGGCGTTAGTCAAAATCTTTTTACAATGGTTTCTAGCAATAATAAACAGACATTTGTTTTCTGGATAATTTTTTTGCTGATAGATGTGGTAGTAATGGTATCTGAATTCGCAATGGTATGTAAGAGGCACATTTTTCAACAGGAAGACGAAAGATTTCTACCCAGGGGCCATCACGAAGAAAATCACGGAAAAAGTCCCAGTCAGCTTTAAGATAGTTGTAAGATGTACTATGATAGGGGGATTCTGATGATAAAGAAGAATGAGATAATAGTTTTAGAGAGATCAAACTGTGATCAGAGGCACTTAAGAGTGAATGTGGAGAAACTGAGCACTGTAACGTAGAGAAGGTAAATGATTCGGATTGTCTGGAAAGCTAGTTGGAAAGTTGACTATTTGAGTTAGAGATTGAGAAAGTAAAAAGTTGTGCCTGCAGAGTCACTGACATTAGAGCCAAGCCATTCAGTGTGATGAACATTTAAGTCACCGACAACAACAATATTGGCTGGTCAATATGGTCAGAAATAATATCAAGAAATGTTCAGTCTTGAGATGAAGGAGAGCAATATAGAACAAAGAAAAAGGTGATCGAGTAAAGTGGTGTTAAACGAAAACACATAAAAGAGTAGCCTGTGGATTCAAACCTAGTTTACCGACAAATGGGTGAATTCTTACGAATGTAAATGTCCAGGCCAAGCATGTGACTATTGGAGTTTTTACGAATTAAAGGAAGATAACCATCAACACTAAGATCAAAAGATGAGACAGCTGAACTCAAATTAGTCTCACAAAGACTAAGTAGGTCTGGTGAACTTTGCAAGAGATAAGACTCAATAGAAGAAAAATTACTTCGAAGACCACGAATATTAGTGAACGATTTAACGAACTTAGTGATGACTGTGGTTTTTTGTGTTTTATAGTTTTTGTTACTTCATTCATTTTTAAATTTGTTAAAGAACTTGACTCGAAAAATAGATAGTACTCAGTACACTATTTAATAGTGCAAGCAATTGCCTCATTATTATTAATAAATCCTAAGCCGTAACAAACATTTTGGCCTTGGCAATGCATACCAAAAGTAAAAACAGGGACACCATCCATGCGCAACATGGCACTGTTAGTATTTTGATATTTTTTAGCTGTTGATGGAATCAGCCTCTCTGAGAGCTGCCACAGAATTCGGGAAACCTGACTACCAGCCGGCCTCAGAACCATAAAACTGAGTTTTAGAGCTGTACTCTCATTAGGAGATAAAAGAATGAGTTGCTTAGTCATATAAACAGAGACACAAGCAAAGCGGTGTACACATACACCGATTGATTTTTAGAGAGAATATGCAGCGGAGTGTGCAATTGTCATTTAAATATCTATTATCGTAAACTATCATTTCACGGGTAAAGAGTTTGTATTTATTACAATAATAAATGAATAGTTTTAAAAAAATAACATAGTATTTACTATATTTAGTTTTTATTAGAATATATCCAATAAAAATATTTTTTATATATTTTAAATAAAATTAGGAATTTTTCTTAAAAATATAACTAAAATCTTATTTCTAATTTTTTTTCTTCTAATTTTTTGCTACAAAGTGACGTCACAGACGCAAAATATTGTAATATTTTGCTTAAACTTAATTTTATCAAGAAAATCTAAATCTAAAACCGAAGTTTCAAATTTTCCACTTGGATGAGACAATATGTTTTTTCAATTGTATTATATATATATATATATTTTTTTTGAGTACACTGACATAAATACAAAAATTCAAAACAAAGCAGTTTAAGCAAAAAATACTTAATTATTAGAAAAATGTTCTTATATTATACACGATCCTGTATGAAACGTTATATAAGTGGGTTTTTTATAATTGTTTACAACATATGTGCTTATATATAAGCGCAACTTTATTCCTATGCAATAAAGCTGCGCTTATTTAGAGAAACCGCTTGAAAAATGTTGATATATTGTAATCGGTATAAGAGTGTATAAAATGGTTTGTTTTTCAATTAATTGCATAAATTCTATAGATCAGTAGTTTTAGGCACTGTCAAAAATAAAATTTAATGTTTTTTCTAGCTATAAGCTTTTCTTTCTATTATTGGGGAAAGGGTGCGTATGTTAAGCATGTTAACAGTGTAATGTTTATTATATCTTATTATATCTTATAGTATATATTATATGTAATGTATATTATAATATTTATATTTATTTTTGCAGATTATTATAATTTAATCTTTCTTATTTAAGAATATAAATAAATAGTTCATTTAAAAAATATCTTTACACCAAAAACACGGTCGTTCAGACTTACTTAATAAGTGGAAAGTTATATTACGCAAGTAAAACTTTAAAAATGAGCTACGGATACCGAATATAAAAAGTTTCTCATAGTCAACGAGCTACTTTTTCTAATTTTTGGCCATTAAATATGCATTTAGCCGTTATTAAAAGGAAATTATTATAAAAGTAACTTCCAGTACATAATGCAATGATAAAAAACCTCTCAAAATGAATAAAATGTAATTTCAGCAATAGCTACTTTAGTGTGTTTTGTTTATTGTTTTCAAATCCTTTTTAAAAAATATTTGAGCGTATAAATTTATTTTTTTTTTACTTTTTCAGATAGATGAATTTTTTATCTTTTTCGGAATGTTTACTAATATTAGTACTCAATTTTTTTTTTAAGATTAAAAGATCTAGTATAATATTTTCTTAGGAGCATTTTAATATAAAAAATTGATTCATTTTTTGAATATTGTTTTGCTTGGCTTCTTTTTCCTTCATATTGTTTTAAATAAATTGCTTGCTATATATATATATATATATATATATATATATATATATATATATATATATATATATATATATATATATATATATATATATATATATATATATATATATATATATATATATATATATATATATATATATATATATATATATATATATATATATATATATATACATACAATATATGTATATATATATATATATATATATATATATATATATATATATATATATATATATACATATATATACATATATTGTATGTATATATATATATATATATATATATATATATATATATATATATATATACATATATATACATATATTGTATGTATATATATATATATATATATATATATATATATATATATATATATATATATATATATATATATATATACATATATATACATATATTGTATATATATATATATATATATATATATATATATATATATATATATATATATATATATATATATATATATATATATATATATATATATATATATATATATATATATATATATATATATATATATATATATATAGCAAGCAATTTATTTAAAACAATATGAAGGAAAAAGAAGCCAAGCAAAACAATATTCAAAAAATGAATCAATTTTTTATATTAAAATGCTCCTAAGAAAATATTATACTAGATCTTTTAATCTTAAAAAAAAAATTGAGTACTAATATTAGTAAACATTCCGAAAAAGATAAAAAATTCATCTATCTAAAAAAGTAAAAAAAAGATAATTTAGCCTCTCAAAATAAAACGTTTATTCAACGTGGAATCAACTTAAGCAAAAAGCCACTTTAAAAACGTTTCGAATGAAAAGAAATGAAAAGAAAAGAATGAAAGAGTGTTCCCGTAGGCACGTGACTTTGAAAATTTTGCCATTATGAGAGGATAAAAATGTAAACAAAGACGATATAAAAAAAAAATTATTATGCAGTTATTTAAATGTATTTTAATTGTGAGCGCTTTTTTACATATAAAACATTATAAAACATTATTTATAATACATAATAGGTATTATATATATTAAGTATTGATATGGTTTCTTCTTGTGGAGTGTTGGGTTGCTCATTAACTAAAAAAAAGCAACCAGATATCAGATTTTTCAGACTTCCTGGAATTATTAATTATGACGAAGAGTCGCGCTCCCTTTCAGAGGAACGTAGAAGGAAATGGTTAGCTTCATTAAACAGAACTAATTTATCTCAAAAGCAGTTGTCAACAATTGGTTCGACTTTACTTGTTTGTGGAAAACACTTTATCAACGGTTAGATACTGTATATAAATTTTGAAAATAGGTTGTTTAAATTTTAAATAAAATCAGTACAAAAGCTGTTCTAGTGACTTCTTTATTATTTATGTTGTGTATATTTACTTACGTATTATGTATTTTAGGAAAACCAGCAAAACTATTTGAAAAAGATTTTGCAGATTGGGTTCCAACACTTTATATGAGTAGAGAAGGAGGGTTGATGTCATTAAAATTAAAAGATGATTTAGAATTAAAAGCAGATAGATTAAAACGACGTAAAAAAAGAAAAACAATGCAAATTTATCAAGTTATTGATAATAAAAGAAGTAAATTTGACAAAGGTACTTTTTAGTTAAAAAGTTGTTAAGGAAACTGATAAATCAAATTTCATTTTGTTTTACTTTAGAAAGTGCCTATTTATTTTTTGTTTGTTATTGTTTTAGATGTTGAAGAAGTTGAAATCAATTTATTCCAAGAAGTTCATCAGAAGTCAGTAAAAAAAACATAGTTGATAAACTGAATGATGAAATCAGGATGTTAAACGAGAATTATGAATCTTTACTTGATCAAAATCAAAAAATTTTAAAAAATACATCAGAAGCATTGATTTCTAAACAACTTTTTAAAAATAATGCTGAAGCAGTCATATACTTCACTGGTTTACCAGATTATAACACCTTATGTGCTGTGGTTGAACTTGTGAAAGATAGTGCAATTACTCCATGTACTCTAAATAGGTTTTGTCAGGTAGTTTTGTCTCTAATGAAACTGCGTTTGGGATCTGGAACAATAAATCTTGCACACCGTTTTCGTGTTTCAAAAACAACTGTCTTAAGATTGTTTCTTCACATGATCAATGTATTTTTTATTAAACTATCACCATTTATTATATGGTCCGAGCGGTCAGAAATAATAAAATCTATGCCTTTTACAATTAAAAGGAAATTTGGAGATAAAATTACAAGTATTATTAATTGCTTTGAGTTGTTTATTACATGTTTGCTGGGAACTGTATATAGTCATAACTGTATATAGTCATAACTGTATATGTCATAACTGTATATAGTCATAACTGTATATAGTCATAACTGTATATAGTCATAACTGTATATAGTCATAACTGTATATAGTCATAACTTTCAAACACTAAAATACTAAAGATAAAATTGAAAAACTGTTGATATATTTAGTACAAAATAAAGAAACTAAACATTTTATTAAGTCATTGCCATTATGTTTGGGCATCTTTTAATTTGGTTCAAAAAAGACTTTTTTCAAATGTTTTTTGAAATTTCGGCTACAGTTTTTTTTTTATTCGATTCAAAATATCGAAATTTAGAAAGGGACTAATATTTATATATATGTCCGGGGTATGACATTAAACTGGTTTTGGGGTTGGTAAGATTTGTTAGTAGAAGTAAAGACATATCACGGAGAAGATATAAAATCCCAACTATGATGTGGTATTGGTAGGAGGAGATCGTGAAAATTATTTTAAAATTATCAAAGAAAATCATCAATATATTACACTAATTTCAAACATTAACTGTTGACAAATAAAAAAGAATCAAAAAAGTCGATGTTATAAAGTTACATATAACTAGAAATCAGTGGCGTACCTACGGAGGATAGGGGGCGGGGGCTCACCGCCCCGGGTGTCATCTACCTTTGGGTGACACCCAATTTATTAATATCTTATATTTTATTTTGGTTTATAATTAAACAGTCAAGTTATTATTGTCGAAAACAAGGTTTAAAATTACATGTGTCAACCTTTCTAAATACTGCTTTAATAATTTCGTATATAAAAATAATTACATATAATATATGGGTGACACCCTATTTGCCGCCCCGGGTGACACCATAACTAGGAACGCCACTGCTAGAAATACAAAATAAATTTTCTGGAAATAACATGTCAAATAAATAGTAAACATGATACTTATTAATTAGAACTAATAAAATATTTAAAAAGTTATATAGTTTTTAAAATAATTTTAATCAAATAGGATATTTAAAAAAGTATGCTCGTATGCTCTAATTTATGGCTATAGGTGTGTATGTATGTGTGTGTGTGTGTGTGTGTGTGTGTGTGTGTGTGTGTGTGTATACAAATATATAAATAAACTATATTAAACTATATTATATAGTTTATCCCTTTCGTGCCGGGATTTATTTAGGCGATTTCAAAAGCGCAATACTATGTCACGTAAACACTTAAATACATGGGCTTCCTTACAAAATAAGTTAAACAAACTATATATCCTCGGAAAGCAGGCAAAACTTAGAATCCAAAAATAAAAATAAGAAAGTAAAAAAATTAAACCAATGATGTTTAAAACATGTAAATGTTGGTCCTGGTGTTGCCATAAATGGAGTAATACTTCTAATAATTTCAATTTTTTTTCCATTCTCTATTATCTTTACTAATAGTAGGCTTCTTGGTCTTAATGGTATGAAGTCGTTTACTAGTTGTAAACCACCGAACTTTTATGAACATCCATAACCAAATAAGTTTGCAAAAAAAATCATTAACCTACCCATAAAAGAGGTTATTATTATTATTATTATTATTATTATTATTATTATTATTATTATTTTGCCTCTAAGGCAGCACCGGAGTAGCATAACAGCATAGATTTTTGCTGGATAACCTCAATTAAAAATTTTTCCACTAGAAAGAATCACACTTTTTACTTTACGTTTGCTTTTAGCATGAAACTTTTAGTTGTTAAAAATATTTAGTTTTATTTATAAAAAACTTATAAATACAGTTTAAACTTAATTTATTGTAACTTAATTGCAATATTAAATGAATGTCTTTAGTTATGTTTAATATACTATGTATTATTATTTTTATCATTATTTTTATTTTATATACTATTATAATATAACATAATATAATCTCTAATCTGAAGTAAACACCTGATATTATTGTCAATAGATTATTATTGTATTGTCAATAATATCAGGTGTCTACTCCAGATTAGAGACCATCAAATTAAGGTGTTGTTCTGCTACATTTTTTTCGAATGGACAGAGCATGCCGTCGACATTGATCATTGAATATTCGCGCGTCGACTTGTTGTATGCTCGGCCAAAAGGCATAACTTTTTTTTTTTTTTTAAAGTTAATTAAGGTGCCCTACGGTCTTATCACAGAGCACCGCGGAAGAGCATTTAATGAAAAAAACTTACCAGAGATGGGGTTTGATACACGGATCTTACGCTTCTAAGGCAAGTGCGCTACCACTGCGCTACGGCTGCTTATGCAATGCATTTCTCAATGTTGAAATGCATAACCCAAATATGTGATCATTTTACTGCTCATTCAATGTCAGCTTGCAGAGTGATGCTGTCTAGGGAAGGGATAAATTCAAGATGGCTATTCAATAACTTAACTCTGCAAACTTTATAGCTAGACAAAAATTGTAGTATTTAGAATATTGATGCAAAAAAAAAAAAAAAACAGTGTTCTTATTAAAATTATTTTACTATTTTGTTGTCTAAAAAATCAGTATTTATTAATTCAGTAAATAAAATATTATTATGTAAGCATTTCGTTAAAATTGGTCAAATAATCTTTAATTTTATGTTTGTGGAGATCTGGACACAAGCTCAGTTGTTAGTGTAATTGATAAAATATTTTTAATATTGAAAATATTTGGTATTCAAAAAAAGTGATTTTGCGTTAATTACTAATTAATAGTACCTAAAAAAAATTATCCATAAATCTCTTTTCGCTCTGACCCCTCTCCCACCTCTCGCCTTTTTTTGGGGTGTGCTCCCCCTTGTTACGCTACTGTATGTATTTTGATTGATTGATTTTATCAGCTTACTAGTGTTAAACAAGGTATCACATTTTTTTTTTTTCTATTAAAAGCAAAATCACAAGCAAATTTTGAAACAAAAAGCAGTAACAGTAAGTTATTTACATAAATATCAAGATAGTTTAAAGCTAAATTACAAATCAAACGAATATAATTCTAGAAGAATAATTGCTAATAAAAATTTTCATATTTGAAACATCCAACAGCACTTTTGTTTTTTTCAGTTTTTATTCCATTTTAATTGTCAAGTATGAAACAAAAACAATAAATTCGTATTTTAATAATTACTATCAATTACAATAACAAACCGATTTTTAGTTAAACAAACCAGTTTATTGTTAAAAAACATGACAATAAGATATTTTAAATGAAAATTTTTTATTTTTTCTTACAGTTTACAAATTTTTTTTAACATAAATTTTTCTTCCTTGAAAAAATTAGATTTTTATCGACCCTTTTTTAAGAGCCTTTTTGAGTTTTCTTCTGAGCCAATATTTTCTCCATTTGTTCTTAAGTTTGTTGTTAAACTTTTTTACTCTTCTTTTTAACTTTGACCATTTTGATTCCTTTGGCAAGATATATGTGGCAGGATCTGCCTGAATATCATCTATTTGAGGAGAAAAAAATAATTAAAATTGAATACTATATCAGGGTTTACTTTATATTTCAATATTACTTTTTTATGTAAATTAGAAATTGCAACTGCATTTAAAATAAACTGATGTAATGAAAGATTAATCATGAAAATATATGTAAAAACTGAATAAAATTACTTTGGATTTCGATGTCTTCTTCGTCGTTTTCTTCTTCTGAGTCGTTTTCTAGCTCATTTGATGAGTTAGAGAAAATATCTTCAGTGTCAGCACCATCATCGATATCATCATAATCAATTTCTAAAGAAAATTATTTAAATATTTTTCAAAACTATTTAAACAATATTATTCAAAACGTTAAACATTCTTTGATACACTAAAATTTATGTTTATAATTGTTTACATTGAAAAAAAAATATCTTAAGAGTATACCTCCGTAAGAGAATGCGATAGTTAAGAAAAAGCATATAATCATAAACGTCTTCATTTTCGAATGACACTAGAATGGTTTTTCCCCTCTATTTATAATAGTTGGTGTATTTTTGTCATGCATTAAATGGAAAATCAATAATAAAACTTTCATTTTTAAAAACAGGGGGCTCTTTTAATAAAAAAATAAGAATCTGTTTATAAAGTTGAAACATTTTTAACATCCTGAATTTGTTTGTAAGGAAAATCTTAAACAAAATCTCAAATATTTGTTTGTCGCAGCGTTTAGGATATCTTTGATAGCTATGCAAGTGGGTAGTTTGAAATAATATTATTTGCTATTTTGAAATTAATAAAATCGTTCGGTATGATGCAATATTTTGATAGACAATTATATCTAGTGGGCGTTGACCGTTAAATTGAATTTATCATAATATGCTTATGATTTCTTATTCCCAGGAATTTATTTCAGTCCTAATTTAAAAGAAGTTTTTAAGCAAGAAAAAAAGGTTTTCAGTGTTTTTTATATTCTTTTTTAACTGCTGTGCACAAATGACGCTGTTATAAGAGTGCAGAGCATCAATTACGTTGTTATATTATTATTGTTTTGTTTATTTAACCACCCACTGTAAATATAAACCATCCACTGTAAATTTTAAACTAACAAAGTTAGGACTTGCAAAATTAAAAACAATGTTTCGGAAAGTAAGAATAAAAAGTGAAGAATTTTTTGCAGTGGCGTATTTAAATTTTATTTAGTATTTATTTAGTAATAAAATTTAAATACTCCATTTTTTAGTATTTTTACGCCACTTATTTAGTATTTTTTCAAAAGTAAAACCTTAATTATATTAATTAATCATTGATCGAACAAAGTGATTAAATGACGCCAGGGGGCATGCCGAGGCTTCTGAAAAAATACTCTATTTTGATCCGAGAAAACCACCTTACAAGCACAATCTTTCCAGAATAAAGCAATATGATTTGTAAAAATAACGTTAATCTTTTTTGAAGCGTTGTTACCGCATCAACCCGACATTTTTTAACTTGATCAAAATCAAAAAATTTTAAAAGATACATCAGAAGCATTGATTTCTAAACAACTTTTTAAAAATAATGCTGAAGCAGTCATATACTTCACTGGTTTACCAGATTATAACACCTTATGTGCTGTGGTTGAACTTGTGAAAGATAGTGCAATTACTCCATGTACTCTAAATAGGTTTTGTCAGGTAGTTTTGTCTCTAATGAAACTGCGTTTGGGATCTGGAACAATAAACCTTGCACATCGTTTTCGTGTTTCAAAAACAACTGTCTTAAGATTGTTTCTTCACATGATCAATGTATTTTTTATTAAATTATCACCATTTATTATATGGTCCGAGCGGTCAGAAATAATAAAATCTATGCCTTTTACAATTAAAAGGAAATTTGGAGATAAAATTACAAGTATTAATAATTGCTTTGAGTTGTTTATTACATGTTTGCTGGGAACTGTATATAGTCATAACTGTATATAGTCATAACTGTATATGTCATAACTGTATATAGTCATAACTGTATATAGTCATAACTGTATATAGTCATAACTGTATATAGTCATAACTTTCAAACACTAAAATACTAAAGATAAAATTGAAAAACTGTTGATATATTTAGTACAAAATAAAGAAACTAAACATTTTATTAAGTCATTGCCATTATGTTTGGGCATCTTTTAATTTGGTTCAAAAAAGACTTTTTTCAAATGTTTTTTGAAATTTCGGCTACAGTTTTTTTTTTTATTCGATTCAAAATATCGAAATTTAGAAAGGGACTAATATTTATATATATGTCCGGGGTATGACATTAAACTGGTTTTGGGGTTGGTAAGATTTGTTAGTAGAAGTAAAGACATATCACGGAGAAGATATAAAATCCCAACTATGATGTGGTATTGGTAGGAGGAGATCGTGAAAATTATTTTAAAATTATCAAAGAAAATCATCAATATATTACACTAATTTCAAACATTAACTGTTGACAAATAAAAAAGAATCAAAAAAGTCGATGTTATAAAGTTACATATAACTAGAAATCAGTGGCGTACCTACGGAGGATAGGGGGGCGGGGGCTCACCGCCCCGGGTGTCATCTACCTTTGGGTGACACCCAATTTATTAATATCTTATATTTTATTTTAGTTTATAATTAAACAGTCAAGTTATTATTGTCGAAAACAAGGTTTAAAATTACATGTGTCAACCTTTCTAAATACTGCTTTAATAATTTCGTATATAAAAATAATTACATATAATATATGGGTGACACCCTATTTGCCGCCCCGGGTGACACCATAACTAGGAACGCCACTGCTAGAAATACAAAATAAATTTTCTGGAAATAACATGTCAAATAAATAGTAAACATGATACTTATTAATTAGAACTAATAAAATATTTAAAAAGTTATATAGTTTTTAAAATAATTTTAATCAAATAGGATATTTAAAAAAGTATGCTCGTATGCTCTAATTTATGGCTATAGGTGTGTATGTATGTGTGTGCGTGTGTGTGTGTGTGTGTGTGTGTGTGTGTGTGTGTGTGTGTGTGTGTGTGTGTGTGTGTGTGTATACAAATATATAAATAAACTATATTAAACTATATTATATAGTTTATCCCTTTCGTGCCGGGATTTATTTAGGCGATTTCAAAAGCGCAATACTATGTCACGTAAACACTTAAATACATGGGCTTCCTTACAAAATAAGTTAAACAAACTATATATCCTCGGAAAACAGGCAAAACTTAGAACCCAAAAATAAAAATAAGAAAGTAAAAAAATTAAACCAATGATGTTTAAAACATGTAAATGTTGGTCCTGGTGTTGCCATAAATGGAGTAATACTTCTAATAATTTCAATTTTTTTTCCATTCTCTATTATCTTTACTAATAGTAGGCTTCTTGGTCTTAATGGTATGAAGTCGTTTACTAGTTGTAAACCACCGAACTTTTATGAACATCCATAACCAAATAAGTTTGCAAAAAAAATCATTAACCTACCCATAAAAGAGGTTACTGTTCATCTTATTCAGCCTTCCCCTATTATTATTATTATTATTATTATTATTATTATTATTATTATTATTATTATTATTATTATTATTTTGCCTCTAAGGCAGCACCGGAGTAGCATAACAGCATAGATTTTTGCTGGATAACCTCAATTAAAAATTTTTCCACTAGAAAGAATCATACTTTTTACTTTACGTTTGCTTTTAGCATGAAACTTTTAGTTGTTAAAAATATTTAGTTTTATTTATAAAAAACTTATAAATACAGTTTAAACTTAATTTATTGTAACTTAATTGCAATATTAAATGAATGTCTTTAGTTATGTTTAATATACTATGTAATATTATTTTTATCATTATTTTTATTTTATATACTATTATAATATAACATAATATAATCTCTAATCTGAAGTAAACACCTGATATTATTGTCAATAGATTATTATTGTATTGTCAATAATATCAGGTGTCTACTCCAGATTAGAGACCATCAAACCAAGGTGTTGTTCTGCTACATTTTTTTCGAATGGACAGAGCATGCCGTCGACATTGATCATTGAATATTCGCGCGTCGACTTGTTGTATGCTCGGCCAAAAGGCATAACTTTTTTTTTTTTTTTAAAGTTAATTAAGGTGCCCTACGGTCTTATCACAGAGCACCGCGGAAGAGCATTTAATGAAAAAAACTTACCAGAGATGGGGTTTGATACACGGATCTTACGCTTCTAAGGCAAGTGCGCTACCACTGCGCCACGGCTGCTTATGCAATGCATTTCTCAATGTTGAAATGCATAACCCAAATATGTGATCATTTTACTGCTCATTCAATGTCAGCTTGCAGAGTGATGCTGTCTAGGGAAGGGATAAATTCAAGATGGCTATTCAATAACTTAACTGTGCAAACGTTATAGCTAGACAAAAATTGTAGTATTTAGAATATTGATGCAAAAATAAAAAAAAAACAGTGTTCTTATTAAAATTATTTTACTATTTTGTTGTCTAAAAAATCAGTATTTATTAATTCAGTAAATAAAATATTATTATGTAAGCATTTCGTTAAAATTGGTCAAATAATCTTTAATTTTATGTTTGTGGAGATCTGGACACAAGCTCAGTTGTTAGTGTAATTGATAAAATATTTTTAATATTGAAAATATTTGGTATTCAAAAAAAGTGATTTTGCGTTAATTACTAATTAATAGTACCTAAAAAAAATTATCCATAAATCTCTTTTCGCTCTGACCCCTCTCCCACCTCTCGCCTTTTTTTGGGGTGTGCTCCCCCTTGTTACGCTACTGTATGTATTTTGATTGATTGATTTTATCAGCTTACTAGTGTTAAACAAGGTATCACATTTTTTTTATTTTCTATTAAAAGCAAAATCACAAGCAAATTTTGAAACAAAAAGCAGTAACAGTAAGTTATTTACATAAATATCAAGATAGTTTAAAGCTAAATTACAAATCAAACGAATATAATTCTAGAAGCATAATTGCTAATAAAAATTTTCATATTTGAAACATCCAACAGCACTTTTGTTATTTTCAGTTTTTATTCCATTTTAATTGTCAAGTATGAAACAAAAACAATAAATTCGTATTTTAATAATTACTATCAATTACAATAACAAACCGATTTTTAGTTAAACAAACCAGTTTATTGTTAAAAAACATGACAATAAGATATTTTAAATGAAAATTTTTTATTTTTTTTTACAGTTTACAAATTTTTTTTAACATAAATTTTTCTTCCTTGAAAAAATTAGATTTTTATCGACCCTTTTTTAAGAGCCTTTTTGAGTTTTCTTCTGAGCCAATATTTTCTCCATTTGTTCTTAAGTTTGTTGTTAAACTTTTTTACTCTTCTTTTTAACTTTGACCATTTTGATTCCTTTGGCAAGATATATGTGGCAGGATCTGCCTGAATATCATCTATTTGAGGAGAAAAAAATAATTAAAATTGAATACTATATCAGGGTTTACTTTATATTTCAATATTACTTTTTTATGTAAATTAGAAATTGCAACTGCATTTAAAATAAACTGATGTAATGAAAGATTAATCATGAAAATATATGTAAAAACTGAATAAAATTACTTTGGATTTCGATGTCTTCTTTGTCGTTTTCTTCTTCTGAGTCGTTTTCTAGCTCATTTGATGAGTTAGAGAAAATATCTTCAGTGTCAGCACCATCATCGATATCATCATAATCAATTTCTAAAGAAAATTATTTAAATATTTTTCAAAACTATTTAAACAATATTATTCAAAACGTTAAACATTCTTTTGATACACTAAAATTTATGTTTATAATTGTTTACATTGAAAAAAAAATATCTTAAGAGTATACCTCCGTAAGAGAATGCGATAGTTAAGAAAAAGCATATAATCATAAACGTCTTCATTTTCGAATGACACTAGAATGGTTTTTCCCCTCTATTTATAATAGTTGGTGTATTTTTGTCATGCATTAAATGGAAAATCAATAATAAAACTTTCATTTTTAAAAACAGGGGGCTCTTTTAATAAAAAAATAAGAATCTGTTTATAAAGTTGAAACATTTTTAACATCCTGAATTTGTTTGTAAGGAAAATCTTAAACAAAATCTCAAATATTTGTTTGTCGCAGCGTTTAGGATATCTTTGATAGCTATGCAAGTGGGTAGTTTGAAATAATATTATTTGCTATTTTGAAATTAATAAAATCGTTCGGTATGATGCAATATTTTGATAGACAATTATATCTAGTGGGCGTTGACCGTTAAATTGAATTTATCATAATATGCTTATGATTTCTTATTCCCAGGAATTTATTTCAGTCCTAATTTAAAAGAAGTTTTTAAGCAAGAAAAAAAGGTTTTCAGTGTTTTTTATATTCTTTTTTAACTGCTGTGCACAAATGACGCTGTTATAAGAGTGCAGAGCATCAATTACGTTGTTATATTATTATTGTTTTGTTTATTTAACCACCCACTGTAAATATAAACCATCCACTGTAAATTTTAAACTAACAAAGTTAGGACTTGCAAAATTAAAAACAATGTTTCGGAAAGTAAGAATAAAAAGTGAAGAATTTTTTGCAGTGGCGTATTTAAATTTTATTTAGTATTTATTTAGTAATAAAATTTAAATACTCCATTTTTTAGTATTTTTACGCCACTTATTTAGTATTTTTTCAAAAGTAAAACCTTAATTATATTAATTAATCATTGATCGAACAAAGTGATTAAATGACGCCAGGGGGCATGCCGAGGCTTCTGAAAAAATACTCTATTTTGATCCGAGAAAACCACCTTACAAGCACAATCTTTCCAGAATAAAGCAATATGATTTGTAAAAATAACGTTAATCTTTTTTGAAGCGTTGTTACCGCATCAACCCGACATTTTTTAATTTTTTAACGTAAAAAGATATTTAAAATAAATTTGAAATCTTTTGATAAATTCTGATATTATCAAAAATTATTAAAAAATTTAAAAAAAGTTTTCATAGAAATTTTTTTTTTTTTTTTTTTTTTTTTTTTTTAAAGCATTTAGTTAAAAGCGTTTAAAAGTTATTTCTTGTCAAATAATACACATTAAATTAATACATTCATGATCGATCATGAATGTATTAATTTAATGTGTATTATTTGTTTGTGTTTGTGGTTTTCTCGGATCAAAATAGAGTATTTTTTCAGAAGCGAAAAAGTGGTTTTCTCGGAAAAAGAAAAAGTGGTTTTCTCCGATCAAAATAGAGTATTATTTCAGAAGCCTCGACATGCCCCCTGGCGTCTTTAATCACTCACAGTTTTCATGACGTAAGTTGAGAGTTGAAGTCTTTTGGTAAACGTGGTAACTTATTGTTTTTCAAGAAAATAATAGCTTTCCTTTTTTTTTAATTCTCTAAAATAAATATTGATAAAAGTGAATAAAAAGTAAAATCGTGCGATGAATTTCGTTTATTGTCAAGTAATTATTGCGACATTGTGAAACATCACGTCACCATTCTGTCCAATTAGATGTAAGTATAAAACTTGATGTAAATATAACTTATATCATAAAAAAGAATTTACATCTTTTTGTATAATAATGTACTTCAAATAGTTCGGCCTACTGCATTTAGCGTTAGCTTCTAATATTAGCACAATGAGCAACGCTGAGCAAGATGCAGACCAAAATTTAAAAATGTGTTCAACGTAAGACAAACTAAATTCTGCTAATCGGGTAACTTCTCAATCTCTTGGTTGTACTAAAATAATTTAAAAGTCTTAAAAAATTTTCTTATTAGTCAGTTAAATGCAAATCTCTTTTTAATGTAACAATCTTGTGATAAAACTACTGTTTGACAAAAGCTGAAACAACTTTGCAAATTTTTTTAAATAAAAGATATAAAACGTTAATTAAATGGTGCTCAACCTTACATCATGATAGATGCTTAAATTTTTGTAACGCGTGCTTAAGACTTGTGACACGTGCCTAAAATCTTGTGACACATGCATGAGACTTAGTGGCATATGCCTAAAATCCTGTGACATAGGTTTAGGATTTTGTGACGCATTCTTCAGAATAATTTTGTTAGACTAAAATGTTTTCTTAATTTATCTAGGAAAAAACAAAACACAAACGATTAAGTTAATTATAAAGTAGAATGATTATCTATTTGCTTTAGACTGTCTATGTCTTCTTAAATCTTAACGCAGCTTATGACGCAAGAATAAAAGAATACTAAACGTTAATAAAATTTTATTTTGGAATGAATTTTAAATATATTTATTGATTTTATTTTTTTATTTTTTTGCACTAGATAGAGTTAGTTCTAGAGGTTTGCATAGGGTTAACTTTTTCGTTTTTCGCAGAAACATCAAGATAAGCTCGTATTTAATATGGTTAGTTGTTAAAAAATATCTAAAATATAATATTTAATAGAAATAGAATAAAAACATTGTTGTTTTCATCCCCGCAATTTATAAGACTTTATTAACAATAGCGCCTCGACATTGCTGTTTACTTTTAAAGGGCATCATTAAAGAATTTCTTAAATTTTGAACTTTTGTTTTAACTTATTAACTTAATAACTTATTATTTTGTTTTACCTTATTTTTGGTTTCTTGAAATTATTTTACCAATTTATTGCTAAGTTTAGTAATGACTTTACAAAACCTAATAATACCAATTATAAAAAAATCTCAGTGATTTTTATTTTAGGCTTAATTAACATTTTTTTAACAAATTTTTATTGCTGTGTTGTCTTTGGGTGAAAATGAAAATAGAAAAAAAAACTGTAATTGCACAAAGCAAAAGAAAACATTGGAGAAACAAATTACAGCTTTGCAAACGCGGTTGAAGAGACGAGGCCATATTTGCTAACCAGAAAGACAATAACGATCAAATCAGAGACTTAGATCTTAACAAAAAGGTAAAGCTAAAGGTAAAGGTAAAAAATGGTATTCAAATAAGCTTCTGATATCCAGGCTCAAACTTGGATATCGTCACGAAACATTTTTACTTCTTAAGTCAAAAAAATCGTCTGTACTTCTGTAAAAAACGTGGCAGTTTTTTCTAAGCTGTTGTTGACGGTTCATTCCAGAGCCTCAAAACTGTACTGCCTCACTACGGAAAAAAATTACCTGTCCATTTTAATACTTTGCATTGTGCATTTCAAAGAGGACTACACCAATATCAAGATATTAGTAAGTGTCTTGGAGACATCAAAATGGTGTCATTCTTCGTGATTCTTCATGACGGTTTACTTACTTGTTTATTTTGTCGCTTGGAAACCAATATGATATTGTAATAATTATTGTTACGTAAATATTGTTTTAATGTTTTGTCTTTTAAGGCAAAACATTAAAACAAAAACTAGAAATCAACAAATATAAATAATTTTATAAATTGTATCAAATAAGCAGGAATACGTTAGCTATGACGTTGTAAAACTCTGAAAATAGTTAACCTCTCACGTTGATCCAAAAAGATCTTTTTTATAATATATATATATATATATATATATATATATATATATATATATATATGTATATATATATATATATATATATAGAATAAATTACTTTTGTTTGTTTATTACTGTTTAGGAATATTGTCTATATAAACAGTTTGTTTTATATTTATAACTTTAATTAACGAGTCTAATACCCCGACGGGCATTTTTTATTTAAAGTTACGATCTAAATGTATTTTAAATGTCTTTTAAACGTCTTTTAAACATTATTGTTTAAAAGACGTTTAAAAGACATTTAAAACACATTTAAAACGTAACTTTTAAAAACAAATGCCCGTCGGGACCGGTCTTCGTAATTTTAAAAAATGTTTTAATATTCAATTAGATTTACAGTAGTCGAGTAGGGAATATATTTTTTTGTGCGAATATTATTTTTTGACTACCCGACAAGAAAATTTGAAGCATGCCACATGTGATTTTCATTCACTCGCTCGATTTATGGAGTTTTTTTAAACCTAAAAATGGCATTTTATTAGCTTTTTTAATTAACATGATTCAATCTTTTTCAATTCAATAATCTAAAACATAAAACAATGATATTAAGAATTATGGAGTTGGAGCCGGAGTCGTGGAGTCGGAGCTGCAACATTTCTGGCGGAGTCGGAGTCGCTAAACAAAATCGCGACTCCGACTCCAATAGTAAAACTTTTCGGTATTGCACGCGCATGTACAAAATATTTAACCTTCAAAAAAATTTCATATATTCCATATTCGTTTAGCTATGGAATAGGAGTTGGAATCAAAATTGGAATCGTAAAGTAAATCGTAATTCTTTCCTATTAAAAAAATTTACATTCGTAACATGAAAAAAATATTTACATGACTGGGGCTAGAAGAAGACAAATTTAGTCTTATCATTAAGCCCCAAAAAACGCGTAATTACTAGACGAAATATAGTTTAACAATAAAATATAGTTTCAATGTATATTTCTCTGATTTATATTATAAAAGAAAACGTAAATATATCGCATATCGTTTAAAATTTATAGTTTTTTAAAGAATAAGATTTAAGAATTGTTTTGTAAAATAAAAGAAACAAAATTTAATAAAAATACTAGAATAATAAAAACAACATCTAAGAATTGGTTTGAAAAATAAGAAGACTTGATTTTATATAAAAAACATTTTATTGTTAGAACAGTTTATAGTTTAACTTATTAAATTATATTTATAATACTTTTAAATTGCCAATAAAGCAAATAAACAGTAAAAAATAAAAGTAAAAGATTTACAAATACCGCAAAAATAATAAAAAATTTCTCAAAAAGAAGATTATCATTTAAAATAATAAAAATATATGTACATATGTTGATTAAATATGTATTAATATTCTAAAGTAATTAACTATTAATTATTGATTTCTAATTGTATTGATTATTAGAAAAAATTTTCAGTTAACAAATGTAATTGCTTGAGTTTTGTTTTGAATTGGTTCAGATAATAATTAGTTTTCAATTCATTGTTTAATATCATGTTCCACAACTGAAGTGCTCGGTTTACAATAGAGAATTTAGTAACGAGATAATAAGTTTTAGATTAAATGTAGTTGTATTTTGAAAATCTAGTAGGGTATATGTGATTTATTTTTTCAAAAATTGAATAAAATAAGATTGGTAATATATTTTTATCAAGTTTGAATATGAAAATAAGAACATGATAGAAGTTTAGTTTGTATACAGTTAGGATATTGAGTTCATTAAATAGTATTTGTATGTAAGAGAAACGATCTACGTTTGAAACTATCGTTATAGCCTGTTTTTGTTTGCTGAACAATTTTTTTATTTTCGTCGCCTGAACAAAGTGAATGATTGCATGATTGGTGGAATGGCCGGATTTGAATCCAAAATGTTTATGGTAAAGAATATTATTTACATTTAAAAAAGAATAAAGACTATTATACATAACTTGCTCTAATATTTTAGAAAAACAATTAAGAATTGAGATTGGATGATAATTTGCAACTTCAGAAGGATCACCTGATTTTAAAATTGGAATGATTTTTGCTTTTTTCAGGTTTTCTGGATAAACACTATGTTTTAAAGATAAATTAAAAATATGTAATAATGGAATTGTGATGTATTTTTTCGATTTAATATCGACATTACTACTTATAGCATTGGGCTTTAACAAAGAGACTGCGTCTAATAATCCTTTCTTTTATAGTTTTTGTAATTAGTTTCATTTTTAAGAGTTTTTTTTTTTAAGAAACTTGTTATATAAACGTTATTTTTTTTGAGGATTTAAGAATGCCACTTGTGATCCAAGGGTTTAAAAGTGTTTTTGTTTTAATAACTTTAGTAACTTCCGGGAATGCTTTATTATAAAAATTAAGAAATTCAGTTAAAAAGATATCAGCTTTATTGCCATTTAGATTTAGTTGAAGGGTGTCCCAGTTGACACCAGTTAGAAGTTTATGAAAATATTTGATGGAAGCGTCGTTTATTAACCGTTTTGTAATTAATTTTTTTCTATTACCAAGGACATGATAGTTGTTGCATTTTTGCGATAGAATAAAAATAGGGAAGTGATCAGAAATGTCAGATTTAAATATACCTGTCCTTAATTTAATATTTACGAAATCATTTGTAATAATTTGATCTAAAGATGTTGCACTTTCTCTAGTTACTCGCGTTGGTTTATTTATTCGGGGAGTATAACTATTTTGAAAAATTGTCACCAATTAACACCAAAAATGGAAAACATTATATATAAAAACAAATATATATATATATATATATATATATATATATATATATATATATATATATATATATATATATATATATATATATATATATATATATATATATATATATATATATATATATATATATATATGTATATATATGTATGTATGTATATATATATATATATATATATATATATATATATATATATACATATATATATATATATATATATATATATATATATATATATATATATATATATATATATATATATATATATATATATATATATATATATATATATATATATATATATATATTAGGGCTGTACCGGATTTAATTTTTCCAAATCCGGCCGGAGCCGGATTTGCCGGATTTTTACTAACAGATCCGGCCGGAATCGGAGCCGGAGCCGGATTTTGAAGCAAAACTACAGGAACCAAAATCCTGTATATCCCTACTTGGTGTTGAAAATGGTCAACAAAGTTGACTATTTAGATCACCAAGTGACAGTTCCCGACGGGCATTTCTTTTTAAAAGTTACGATCTAAATGTATTTTAAATGTCTTTTAAACGTCTTTTAAACATTAATGTTTAAAAGACGTTTAAAAGACATTTAACACACATTCAGAACGTAACTTTTAAAAACAAATGCCCGTCGGGTTGTTTTCTATTAAACATCATTTTTGTTGTTTAAAAGTTTTATAGCAATTTCTATAGAAATTAACAGACATTTTATATAAATTTTATAGAGTTTCTATAGGCCATATGTTTCAAAAATTTAGAGAAATTCTACAGAACTTTTTTTCCTGGGATGTTGTCACTCCGCCACTGTAGTGAATCAGCGTGTCTATATATTTCTGATTCTTCCAGATATTGGCTTAGCTGAGTGTCAATGCCTGTTGGTAATTGTTGTTCATGTGCTGTGCAACAAGCGGGCGTAGACTGAATAATTTCATCTACATATATTGCCATTGTAATGATGATAATGTATAAGAATTATCCAGCCGGGATTGTTTTGCTGGATTTTCTTTATTTTTTTCAATCTAAAAAGGTTTCTCCTCAATGCCTTTGAAACGCTTATCTAATGAGTTGATTAGGATTGACTTCATAGTCTTTACACCTGCATTATTGCAGAATATCGTGTGTCTTCTCTTCAGAATTTTTTGTTGCGTTCTTGTTTGAAATTAGCCTTAGCTAATTAAATTGTAAAAAAATGTAAATACAGATACCAAAACAAACATGAAGTTCAAAATTTAAGTATTATGTATACATGTTATCACGGGTAAGAAAGATGTAATAAACATCCAGAAATCCGGCCAAAATTATGCCGGATTTGCTAACATTTTGCCGGAGCCAGATTTGGGCCGGATTTGTAAAAATGGCCGGATTTCGGCCGGAGCAGGAGCCGTAGCCGAAATTCGGTACAGTCCTAATATATATATATATATATATATATATATATATATATATATATATATATATATATATATATATATATATATATATATATATATATATATATATATATATATATATATATATATATATATATATATATATATATATATATATATATATATATATATATGTATATACATATTTGTTTTTATATAAAATGTTTTCCATTTTTGGTGTTAATTGCTATATTAAAACTTTTTTTTTAAAGAATGTTAATTATCTTGACTCTTTTTAAAACCGTTTAGAGTTTAATTACAGTTAGATGAAGAGTTACATAAAGTTAATGTTAGTGAAAATAAATCTCTTGAAAATACAACTTTTGTATACAAATAAGGTAAATTTTTTTAAAGACATTTATGAAAATTTTTTTACATCAATATTTACAAAGCTTAAAGTAAAGAGCTTCACTTTGATTTTAAAAAAAATAAATTAAAATGTTCCTTCACAATTTCCATTACACATGTATACATTTATATTACACCCATTGATCTATTCAAATATTATCTATTAGATTCTGAAAAGAGTCTACCAAAGATCTTTGATAGACTGTTTTCCCAAAGGTGTTTGCTAAATTCTTTTAGCGAAAATCTTTGGTAGACTCTTCGACAGATTCTTTAATGCTATATTAATAACTATTTTATGTTTTTCAAACCTACAGTTACACACACACGCACAGACACACACGCACACAAACAAACGCACACATAAAATTAATTTAAATTAATAAGAAGAGTAACCAATTATTTTGCAGCTTTAAAGATGAAAAAAAAATTGATTGGTTTAATTTTTTTGTAAAAATAGCTTGCAATACTATCTGTTCGTCCCTAATATAAAACACCTCTTACAACAAACCACTTAAAAGTCCATAAAATGTCTTTTATGTTTAGTTTACTTATTTTGAACTCGTCTTTTTCTAGTAAAACTAGTCCATCGCTAGATTAGTTCAACATAATACTTATGTCCCATGAATCACTGGATCATTTTCTTTTTTCTGGTGTTATCAACTTTGTATCTTTTGAAGTTTAAATACATAATATCTATTATGTATTTAAACTGCATAATAATATTTTCCAAAAAAATAAAATCTTTCAAAATAATATCTTTCAAAAAAATAAAAACTTTCAAAATAATATCTTTCAAAAAAATAAAAACTTTCAAAATAATATCTTTCAAAAAAAAAAAAACTTTCAAAATAATATCTTCCAAAAAAAAAAAAAATCTTTCAAAACAATATCTTTCAAAAAAATAAAAACTTTCAAAATAATATCTTTCAAAAAAAAAAAACTTTCAAAATAATATCTTCCAAAAAAATAAATTCTTTCAAAAAAATAAAAACTTCCAAAATAATATCTTTCAAAAAAATAAAAACTTTCAAAGTTATATCTTCCAAAAAAATAAAATCTTTCAAAATAATATCTTCCAAAAAAATAAAATCTTTCAAAAAAATAAAAACTTCCAAAATAATATCTTTCAAAAAAATAAAAACTTTCAAAGTTATATCTTCCAAAAAAATAAAATCTTTCAAAATAATATCTTCAAAAAAATAAAATCTTTCAAAACAATATCTTTCAAAAAAATAAAAACTTTCAAAAGTTTTTATTTTTTTGAAATAAAAACTTTTTTTTTTCAAAAAAAAAGTTTTTATTTCAAATAAATAAAAAAAACTTAAAAAAATTGAAAAGGTGTTTCATGTCTTGCTATCAGATGAGATAGAGAATGTTTGTCCATCTAACATTTGTCACAAATGTTATGATACAATAAACAATGTCATCAAATGAAAGGCATCGACAACACTTCTTTAAAATATGAACTGGAAACCTCATTCTGATAAATGCTATTGTTGTCAACAGGCAGAAAAACTCAATAAAGGTGTGAATTCTACTAAATCAAGAAAAATGAATAAAAGGCTTATTCACAGGCTGGTGTTTATGAAAAAGCTTGCTTGTTTTCAATGATTGCTGACACTAAAAAAGGCATTGTTGTAGTGCACGACTAAGAAATAAATGTTAAACAGCTAAAAAATGAGTTTAATCATTTAGTAAATGCGGATTAAACTCATTTTTTAGCTGTTTAACATTTATTTCTGAGTCGTGTACTATAACAATGTTGGTTGTTGTGGTATTTTACTGCATAAATTACAGACAAAGCTGTAAATGATTTACAGCTTTGTCTGTAATTTATTGTCTAGTAATTTTTGTCTAGTATTAGTGTAGTAATAGTTAGTGCTAAATTGAAAATTTATCAATGCATATATCAAGACATCTTGATCAATTAGAAAGGTGGTTTAACAACCAATAATTTACAATTTTGTTTTAAAAATATTTTTTTAAATTTTGTGTCATCTTTCGTCTATATTATTTAAAAACTAAAACAATTGCTAAATTATTATTTTATTATATAATTATTTTATAATCTACTAGTCACTTATTTAGTAATGTGTGTCGAGGCGAAGGATTACAGATTCAATAAAAAAGTAGCCATGTCGAGGTTTGAAAAGCAAATAGAAGATCTTGAAAAAATGAACTATAAGTAAGTTACAAATTTAGTTATTTTAAATAATTATTTATTATTTATAGATGAACAAAATATTGTAAAGTAGAAATGTTATATAAACAATATTTGTAATATTTATAATAAAGCATAACAGTTATTAAAATAAATTATCATAAAAGCTCAGGCCTTGTTTGAAAGTGTTAAACGTATATCTATTTACGTACATGTTAAGCGATTTTAAGCAGTAAGCAATTTCAGTTAGCAAAATTTTATTTTTAATTAAACATTTTTATACAACAGGAATACCAGTATTAGAGTATTTGTTTTTGGAGACTATGAGTTTTTTTTGTGCACTCTACGGAATTTTAAGAGCTACAGGTGATTTTATATCTTTATAAATAATAATCTGTTTTTTGTATCATTCACTGATTTTAAGTTATGTAACTGTAGGCTAAACATTTTTTAATTCTTAAATTTATAGAATTTAATCACGATTTGTTAAACATTTATATGCTGATAAAAAAATTGAAAAATCCTGTAGTCTGAGTACCAACAATTTTAACGACTGGCGGGACTTCAGATAAAAATAAGGACTTCACATTCCGACTTCGCATCCCTGAATTGCATATATATATATATATATATATATATATATATATATATATATATATATATATATATATATATATATATATATATATATATATATATATATATATATATATATATATATATATATATATATATATATATATATATATATATATATATATAAATGGTAATTAATCATTATTGTTTAATTTGTAATTATTTCTTAATAAGAAATTCTTATCAATTTTATTTTAAGGGGGCATCGTTTTCTTTTCTGTTATGCGACATGAAATGAAATGTGGTAAACATAAAAATCCTAAAATAAAAGATCGTACCTTGGAAGATTTATTTTCTGATCATAAAAAATTTATGGAAAGTGGAGATTAAAGAAAAATATTAGGAATTTTAATTATGTCATTGAAGAAGCAATTTTGAAAATACCCCTTGATCAAGTAATGTTGTTTTTATTTGTTATATTAACTTTGCAGTATGGCTTTGTAATAGTAACTTTTTAGTCATGTACCTTCTATATATACTTTTAGGTATCTTTACCTAGTCTCCATGGCTCTTGGTATTTATTTGATTTTTTTAAATTTGTTTGAAGAAGAAGTGCATCAGCTAGATATTTAATTTGCTGCAGAAATATCAAAAAGCAACACTAATTTTTCAGAAGAATATACAGTTTTTGTATCAAAACAAAAATAGCTGTTAAATCTTCAAGCTGAAGTTCTTAAACTTGACGATCAAATCCATTCAATCAATGTTGTTTTGTTAGCAGCTGTTAACACTTTTTAACAGCTGTGATGTATTTAAGGTACTTGTTTGCAAGTTTTTGATCAAGGAATCTTGCTGTACACCTAAACTCACACATTTTGTGCGTGAGTTTAGGTGTACAGTTTGCAGATCAACGTTCACTTAAGTTAGTGATTTAAATGTCAATCCTTTCCTACACCGATTAGTCTTGTTATTACTGAGTATACAATATTATAATTTTTGCTGTTATGCAATTTTTTTGGTTTATTTTATCCCTACTTTTTTATTTTTTAGACAACTATATAATACTCTGTTTGGAAAACAAATATTAGGGTTGGATCAGAGTCCATGCACAAAAATGATCGAGACTATACTGCAAAAGCTGAAAAAACAACTTCAAGCGTATCACGGAAAAAGTTTTGTGGGAAACCTATGCATAAAATGCTAAAAGTAATTTTATTATTAAGTAATTTTCATGAACTACTATTTTTCATAAATTATTTTCTATAAGGGCTGTCCGCTAATTATGTCGAAAAAGTAGGGGGGTGGGATATTCTGAACTTTTTTGACAATTGTTGACGCAGGGTAGGTAGGGAGGTCAAGTAAAGTTGATGACAACAATGTTATTATTATTTTTTAGTTACATAGCTTAAAAAACGGAAAATTAGGCTGCGCTTGTAGTGTAGATTTTTTATTTAGGACAGGGGGGGGGAATCATAGTTTGACGTAATTTTAAAAAATTAAAGGTAAAAATTTGGTTGACTTAATTAATGGACCCATATTTGTAGAGCTAATGAAGTAATAAAATTTTTTCGCAATAATTTAAATATTTAATTTAAAAAAATTATATGATCTTAAAATAAATCTCTAATTATAATATTTAATGTTTTCAGAAAAGGCAAATGCTTTTAACAAGATGCTCTTTTGAAGTTAACCTATTAACTTTTACAGAAAAAGACTGAGTATTTTTATCCTGATATCATCACGAGAGAGATTTTGAGATTAACACCAGAGGTTTATAACCTCCTTCTCCTACCCATTCCCTCATGATTCCCTCAGTTAAGTTTTAAGGATTTTAAATCATTTTTCTTCTCATAGGTAAGTTACATTCACCACGGCTAAAAAGCCTCGTATTTATGACTATAGGGGGAAGGGAGAGGGGTCGACAAAACGGAAAAAATCTGACATCATTTATGGACGGCTCCTTCGCAAAGTAGCTTAACATTTTGATAATTAACTATATAATAGATATTTAACTGTTTATAAACAAGACTAAAAATAAATTTGCTATTTAGAAATCTTCAATACTTAAGCTATGTAACTGTATCCCGAGGCTTGTTCATGATGAAGGATATTCAGGAACAAACATGCACCTGTTAGCAGTTGAAATTAGCAATAAATAACAACTATTTTATAAATTTGCCCAGATCTACATAATATTTTCTTCAAGAAGTATAGTTACACTAGAAGATTTAATTATTTTAAGTAAGTTTCATTAAATAAAATATTTTGAAATTAGTATTTAAGTATACTTATTGGTTTTTTTATAATTGTTCTTTTAAATTTTTTTAGAAAAAAATATAAAAAGCTTAATCCAATTTTATCGTGCGATTTGGCCCGAGGCTTCAGTTACACTAAGTTGCATATGTTAGAACATCATGCTGTTCCGTTTTTGAAAAAATGGGGAGCGGGATTCGACTTTTACAAAGAACAAGGTGGAGAATTGATCCATATGGAGTTTAACAAAGTCAAAATTATTTATCAATCGATTCCTAGCCCGACAATGCAATTAAAAAGTATTCTCAACAATTAAGTGTAACAATTAAAAGCCTCTGAAAGAAGAACAAAGAAAAATGGCTATTTTCATAGCCACAAACATATTAAAAGCATTATTTAGTATAAAATAAATTTTGATTGGCGGTAAATAGTTTGTTGTTTTTTAACACACCCATGCATACCAGACATTGGATATACAGTAGAATTCCGTTGACTCAGATCCTGGATAAGTCAGATTTTCCATTTGCTTTGATCTCTTTATACATTCCGAGAGTATGTATATAGAGAACTCTTTATACTTAACTCGGACATTCGCTAAGTTAGACTATTTATCTATTCCTCTCAAAACCTTTTATTGAGTAACATATTCAAATCACAGGGAAGGGATTAGGAAAGTTATTTGGCCCAGGTCTTCAGTCGCAAAAGGGCCGCAAATGTTGAGATCAGAGATCGAGGCTTTTTTTTAGCCTTCAAATACCCATTTGGCTAACTAAGGTTAGGTTTTATATATATAATTTTGCGTGTTTACTGTTTTTATATAATTATATATATATATATATATATATATATATATATATATATATATATATATATATATATATATATATATATATATATATTATATATATATATATATATATATATATATATATATATATATATATATATAATTTTGAAACAGCGCAAGCCTCTTTTAAGTAACCATATGTTTAGAATCCGCTGGTTTAATTTGCCTGAATAGTCCTAACGGTCTTATTACAGAGCATGGAGAATAGCATTTAAGAGGTAAGCTCTCCTTTTTCAACTTTACCGAAAACGTTTTTATGCTATCAGAAATCAAATCCGCGATATTGCGGGCAGAGCCCAAATGCTTGACCACTACGCTACGGCTGCTTAATTTATTGTCGATAAAATAGCTAGTCTTATTATAAGTATTTACATATTTTTTTAAATCTGAACATTGTCTAACTAGAAACCAAAATTAACGTAGCAGAGGCGGGGAGTAAGTTAATATACCCGCTTCTTTGAAGACGTGGATTTTTAACTTTAATTTATAATAGGATTTCTCATAATGCCTATAACTTATAGAAAATTTGCGTATACTTGTTTATTTAAAAAGTATTTCAAATAAATGTATGGAAACTAAAAATGACTTTATTCATATTATTCCGATTACAATTGTTACCTAAACAATTTAAAAAATTGTGCGTGTTAAACAAATAGGCTTGTCGTAAAATCTTGAAGTGATTTTTTTTTTTACAAAATAAATCATCCATTTAAAGAAGAAATTTGTTTTAAATGCAACAAAATGAAAAACAAATAGTTTCAAAATTGCAGGCGCATGCGCAGATATGTTTTTGTACATATCTGCGCATTACAGTATTTTTTAATGTTTTAGGTTAACTTCCAGACATAGAACAAACTCCAAACATATATGTTTATACTTATGTCAAACAAGGATGCTTTGCAAAAAATTGCAATGATCAGAGCCTAGGAACAAAAAGCAATAAAATTTTAGCTACAACTGTCCCAAGCGTAGGAGCAACAAGTTGATGCATTATTTTTTTATTATTCTAAACTAAATCTAGATTCATCGATCAAATTCAATATTGACACAAAAATCTTTTAACGTTCGTTAACTAACTTTTTTTTTTTTTTTTTTTTAATTTTATTGTAACGTATACATTACAAGGTATTCGTGAAATAATTTGTTTATTAATATTTTTAAGGTTCCGATAAAAAGAAGAAATTCACTGTTAATTAATTAGTAAATAGTAATTATCTGAAAATACTTAACACATAATCTATTAAGTGGCAAGTAAAAAAGAAATTGAAATTATAATGGAGGAAAAGTTCAAAGCGCAAGAAAGTTCGCTTTTAAAAATAGTATCAGGAAATGCCTCAATACAAAACGACAAAATGGATAAAATTTTACATTCAATAGAAAATATAACAAATCGTATTTCAAAAGTTGAAAAAAAGTAACAAAGCTTGTAGAAATGTATTGACGATCTACAAAAAAGTATTGAGTTCACTCAAGATACCTTAATTAATGAAAAACTCGTACACGTCGAAAAAGAACTTAAAAAGTTAATGAATACAGAAATTACTAAAGTTGTAAATCAGACCGTACAGCTACAAACAACGCAGATCGAAGCAAGCAAACTAAATGATGCACTACAAGAAAAAATTAGAAAACTAGAAGATAGGAATAGAAGAAACAATATTAGAATTGACGGTGTACGAGAAAATGAAAAAGAAACATGGGATCAAACTGAAAAAAAAGTTCAACAAATATTGTTTAAAATTTCAACAAATATGTTTAAAACATTGTTTAAAAGTTCAACAAATATGATCAGTTAAAAATAAGTAACATTATTGAACGAGCGCACCGTATCGAAAGACGCTTTAAGGTGGTTATCAGGTAAAAAAATTATTTTTTAATTGCCAACTTAATCATATACCAAAGTTAGTTTAAAAGAAACATACTTATTAATATAATTAAAAATGATAAAAAAAAAATAATTTCCTTTTTTTTTTTGCTGAATCAGCATAAAATGCAAAAAAATCAATGAAAAAAGAAAACAACATTTTCTCAGCCTCTTTATGACATTATAAGCCAAAACTTACAACACTGATAGATTATAGTGTATTAAACAAAAGCTTACTAGAAAAACTAAAAATAATTATTATTTTTAAAATGGCAGCTTTTTCAATTTTAACGGAAATTATTGATACAAAAAAAAAAGGTAAAATATGAATATATTCAAATGGAAACAAGCTTAAGATTAGTTCTGGTAAGCTATTGCAGTTCTATCTATAAAGAAACAACCCTGAAAATTTGAACTCAATTGCATATCTGGTTAAAAAGATATGAATGATTCGCTTATTGCAGTCAGGCAAAAACAAACAATTGAGAAATCAAGCTTCAAAGTTTAAAAACAATTTATTAATTAAAAATTTCCTGTAATATAAGAGTCTACTCCCTCTTTTTCTTTCTCCTTATCAATATAACCCTTCCTGATACATCTCCTTTTCCTTCTAGCCCTTTTTTGCTTTGGAGTTGAATTTTTAATCGTGTTCTTTACTCTTGATACGTCCTTCTTCCACGATCCTTGGATCATAAAACTTCCAGGCAAGAGCTGCAAATAATCAAAAATTCTTGTGAAACCTCTCAAACCATCATTGTAATTTATTACAGCTGAAGCAACACCAAGATCTAGTACCTTTTTAGTAACAAAAATATTTTTTGGACACTTTTTCCAGATTATCTGGTTGAAAGCCTCATTTGGATTTTGTGTTGCGCCATCCAGGCAACTTTAAACTTTTTTCTTTCTGCTTAACAAATAACATCAAAACATACGGCTTTGCTAAAAATAACTCTGGTTCAAAAGTTTAGTTAATTATACAGACCCATGAAAAGAAATAATTGTTTAAATCTAGGTCTTTGGGTAATATATCTATAAAAAATTATTGGTTGCTATGCGGTTGTTAAGTAAATTTTTTTTACTCTTACCAACTAAAACAATTTTTTTACATTTTTTTATTAATTAACCCATATCATGTTATATATGGTTAAAAAGCCAATTGAATTTTAAACAAAGTTGGCTGATAAACTAAAAAACACATTTTTTCACAAAAATCGCTATTTTTTTACCTGATAACCACCTTAACGCAGAGAAAATAAAGAATAAACCCAGAACAATCATACTCAAACTGTTAAATTATAAAGACAAAGAAAAAATTTTGGAAAACGCAAAGATGCTAAAAGGTACAGGTATCGCTTATAATTAATACTTAACTTAACGCTGCCGCTGCTGCTGCTCACCATTCGTGCACCTTTACACGGACTTTTTTACCATACTTGGCCTTTGAGTTTTATTATAAACTAGCTGGGGGGACCCGTAAAATACGGGCCTTTACCGAAACGACCATTTTTATACTTATCTATAGCTATCCGGACGTAAACTAAGGGTCTTAGTAAATCTATTCCACACCGACCTTTTCTATACTTATTCCTTACCTCAATATTTTTTTAAAACCGTTTAAAATGTACATATAAAAAACTATACTTACTTTTTGATATGACAAAAACATTTCTCTTAAAATGTTCTTTTAAAAACTTCAAACGATTTTAATATTATGCCGATTATAAAAATTTTAATAAGAAAACGTAAAAAAGACTACGAACTTAGAAAAATGCTAAAACATTCAACACGTGACGCCGTTAAAGTACGCCTTAGTTAACGTTCATAACATATACACATCTAATTAGATTTTATTTAAACTTAGTTGTTGCAAACTTGGTTTTGAATTTTTAATTACACTTCTTATGCGTCATAAATAATCTTAAATTCTAAATAGAAAATACGTTTATGGGCTAATTGGTAGACGCGCAACACTTAGACAGATATAGTCATCTCACCCCGGGAGTTCATACTCCAGTGACCTTTTTTTTTCATCCCAACTTACAACAAAAGTAATTAAAAATAAATGTTATTATTGAAACAGTTTTAAACATTTCTTCCTATTTATCTTTGAACTTAACTTTATTCACTGCAAACATACTTTTGGTGTTTGTAAGCGTTATTTTACGTTTAGTATTTGTAGGAATTATTTGCACGCACGTATTTTAAACAATT